TTTTTTTTTTTCTGTCTCCGTCTCTTTTTATAATTTGTTATAGATTTTTCTGTTGGTGAAAAACCGAGCGGGGACACGTCTGCTTATATAGAGTAAAGAGTCTAAAGACGGGTCGGATGCTACGTCACGGGTGACGGGATTTTTATTTTTTATTTTTGGAATCTTATGTGTAACTTTTTTTGGTCGCACGAGTCGCGTGCACCACAACCCCTGTATTTTTTTTTTCTTACTAAAAATGCAGTGATGAAGTATGAGCCGAGCTCAGCATTTCGAGTTCGTGTTCATTTACGTTCAAACACTGTTCATGTTTGTTGGTCTATTTTTTGAGTAAAAAAATCGTGTTTGAGTTCGTTAGTTTAATTGTGATACGGCCATGAGTAGCGGTTCATAAGAGACCGGTCATAGACCGAACTTAGTCCAATCAGCTAGGCAACGACTAGCTACCCGGGGACTAACTAGGTGGATGGGAGCTACGCGAGGACTAGTTAGGCGGGACTAGCTATGTGGATGGGACCTAGGCGATAACTATCTAGGCGGATGGGAACAAGGCGAGGACTAGCTATTCAAAGACTAGCTAGACGGATGGGAGCTAGGCGAGGACTAGCTAGGTGGATGGGAGCTAGGTGAGGACTACCTAGGCGGATGAGAGCTAAGCGAGGACTAGCTAGACGAGGACTAGCTAGGAGGACTAGTTAGGCGGATGAGAGCTAGGCGAGGGCTAGCTAGGTGAGGACTAGCTAGGCAGGACTAGATAGGCATATGGGAGCTAGGCGATGACTAGCTATGCGGATGGGAGTTAGGCGACGACCAGCTAGGCGAGGACTAGATGATACTGTCATGCGTAGCGGTTCATAAGAGACCGTCATAGAATGAATTTAGTCCAATCAGCTAGGCGAGGACTAGCTAGACGGATGGGAGCTAAGCGAGGACTAGCTAGGCGGATGAGAGCTAGGCGGATGGGAGCTAGGCGGATGAGAGCTAGGCGGATGGCAGTTCGGCACGGTGGGCAGCTTGGCATCCGCCTGAGCTCGGCGTATGGGTACACGGACGACCCGACACTAGCGACCCTCAACAGCTCGGCATTAACATGGGCACCTCGCGCCCCAAGTCGCACCTCGGCATTTTGTGTCATGTGCAACGCATTGACTTTTCAGATGGTGCGGACTAGCTAGGCGGATGGGAGTTAGGCGAGGACTAGCTAGGCGGATGGGTGCTAGGCGAGACTAGCTAGGCAGGGACTAGGTAGGCGGATGGGAGCTAGGCGGGGACTAGCTAGGCGGATGGGAGATATGTGAGGACTAGCTAGGCGGATGAGAGCTAGGCGAGGACTAGCTCGGCGGGGACTAACTAGGCGAGGACTAGCTAGGCGAATGAGAGCTAGGCGAGGACTAAATAGGCGGGGACTAGGTAGGCTGATGGGAGTTAGGTGGGGACTAGCTAGGCGGATGAGAACTAGGCGAGGACTAGCTAGACGAGGATAGCTAGGCAGATGGGAGCTAGGCCAGGACTAGCTAGGCGGGGACTAGCTCGGCGGATTGGAGCTCGGCGAAGACTATCTAGGCGGGGACTAGTTAGGTGGGTGGGAGATAGGCGAGGACTAGCTAGGCGGATGGTAGATAGACGAGGACTAGCTGCACGGGAACTAGTTAGGCGGATAGGAATTATGCGAGGACTAGCTAGGCGAGGGACTAGCTAGGCGGATGATCTAGGCGAGGACTAGTTAGGCGGATGGGAGCTAGGCGAGGACTAGCTAGACGAGGACTAACTAGACGAGAACTAGATAGGCGGGGACTAGCTAGGTAGATGAGAGCTAGGCGGGGACTAATTAGGCGAGGACTAGTTAGGCGGGGACTAGCTAGGCGGATGGGTGCTAGACGAGTACTGGCTAAGCGGATGGGAACTAGGCGAGGGCTTGCTACGCGAGGACTAGCTAGGCGGATGGGAGCTAGGCGAGGACTAGCTCAAGTACTAGCTAGGCGGATGAGAGCTAGGCGAGGACTAGCTAGGCAGATGGGAGCTAGACGAGAGCTAGGTAGGCGAGGAATAGCTGGACGTGGACTAGCTAGGCGATGGGAGCTAGGAGGACTAGCTAGGGATGAACTAGCTAGATGGGGACTAGCTAGGCGGATGAGTTCTTGGCGAGGACTAGCTGGGCGGAGACTAGTTAAGGAAATGGTAGCTAGGCGTGTACATGTGCTTTTCATGTAAACCTTTGACTATTTCTTGGATATAACTTTGGATCTCTATTACTTCTGCAACATTATTACTTGTTTCCTTAATTCCTTTTACTAAGGACAATTGTGGAGTTGAGACAAAGTTACACATATACCAACCTCTATCCAAGTCAACCAACTTCACAACTTTCTCAACTTTTTAAACAAAGAACATTCATCATCCATCCTATATATATATATATATATATATAGGGCAATGCTATATGTACACCCCCTTTTAATAAATTACACAAAGAAAAGTGCTATATGTACACCCCTTTTTTACACACAAGGGGGTGTACATATAGACACCCCCATATATATATATATTATTTATTTTGAAAATTAAAGGAACAGTTATAAATTTATTTAATCCATCCAAATGGGTAAACTCATAAATTTTTATTGCTTGATCACACAGACTCAAGGTGTAAGTTGATCTGTCAGTAAAAACGGGTCTCCAATGATGAAATTCTTAAATTCAACCTTCTTCACAGCTCCACATATTTCACAATTCAATCAGCAAATTGAGCTCGAGCTCATTTATAACTCATTCAAGGTTCGAAAAAATAATTTTTATGCATTTTTCTATAGTTTAACACGATAAATCTCAATTTTGCCTCGTTAAGACTCGAGTTCGGCTCTTTAATATTGATAAACGAGTTCTAGCTTCGATTATGAGCTCATTAATTTAAAGACCCGTGCCATAAAGGGCTTGAGTTCGAGCAACATGCGCTCGAGCATGGATCGTTTCCACCCCTAGCTGCCCATCCTTTAAAAAAAAAAAAAAAAAAA